GTTTTTTTTTTTCCCCACATGCTCTAATTTACCATTTGGGTTTATGTCTTTTTTTTTATATTATGTTATGTTAATCACCATACATTACATCATTAGTTTTTGGTGTAGTGTTCCATGATACATTGTTTGCCTATAAGACCCAGTGCTCCATTCAGTACATGCCCTCTTTAATACCCATCACCAGGCTAACCCATCCCCCCATGCCCCTCCCCTCTAGAACCCTCAGTTTGTTTCTCAGAGTCCATAGTCTCTCCTGGTTCGTCTCCCCCTCCGATTTCCCCCCCTTCATTTTTCCCTTCCTGCTATCTTCTTTTTTTTTAATATATAATGTATTATTTGTTTCAGAGGTACAGGTCTGTGATTCATCAGTCTTACACAATTCACAGTGCTCACCATAGCACATACCCTCCCCAATGTCTATCACCTGGCCACCCCATCCCTCCCACCTCCCACCACTCCAGCAATCCTCAGTTTGTTTCCTGAGATTAAGAATTCCTCATATCAGTGAGATCATATGATACATGTCTTTCTCTGATTGATTTATTTCACTCAGCATAATACCCTCCAGTTCCATCCACATCATTGCAAATGGCAAGATTTCATTCCTTTTGATGGCTGCATAATATTCCATTGTATATATATACCACATCTTCTTTATCCATTCATCTATTGATGGACATCTTGGCTCTTTCCACAGTTTGGCTATTGTGGACATTGCTGCTATAAACATCGGGGTGCATGTACCCCTTCGGATCCCTACATTTGTATCTTTGGGGTAAATACCCAGTAGTGCAATTGCTGGGTTGTATGGTAGCTCTATTTTCAACTTTTTGAGGAACCTCCATACTGTTTTGCAGAGTGGCTGCACCAGCTTGCATTCCCACCAACAGTGTAGGAGGGTTCCCCTTTCTCCGCCTCCCCACCAACATCTGTCCTTTCCTGACTTGTTAATTTTAGCCATTCTGACTGGTGTGAGGTGGTATCTCATTGAGGTTTTGATTTGGATTTCCCTGATGCTGAGCGATGTTGAACACTTTAGTATTTGGGTTTTTTAAAAAGATTTATTATTTATTTGAGAGAGAGAGTACATGAGCGGAAGGGCAGAAGGAGAGGGAGAGAGAGAATCTGAAGCAGACTCTGTGCTGAGCACAGAGCCCAGCACAGGGCTTGATTTCACAACCCTGAGACCATGACCTGAGCCGAAACCAAGAGTCAGACATTCAACCGACTGTGCCATCCAGGCACCCCATAGTGTTTGTTTTAACACTAATACTTGATATGGGATTACAAAATAAATCTTTTTCCTCCTGCATATTCTTAGAATATGGTAGATCCTAAATATGATTATTTAGTAGATAAGGATTCTGTCAGTGGAAAGTCTCTTTATGTAGTATAGGTCATAAGCTTCTGGGAATAACTTTGCCTCTCAAGGAATCTTGGATCTAAGAGGAACCTAAGAAACAGCTAGGGTAGTTCCCCACCCCTTGTCTCTGTCTCTCTGTCTACACACACAGACACACACACACACTCATTCACACTTTATAGATAAGGCACTGAGGTCTGTATGGGCCATGTTCTTTGCTTAAGGTAGCACAGGGAGTCATCAACAATCTCTTTCGCTTTTTGTTCTGCTATTTTTCTCTTATGTGATTTTAAGGGTTATACACATAATTCAAGGGTCCCCAGTAGTTTGCCTGCTTTAAACACCTGTGGATCTATCATAGTTTAAAATTATCACTACTAGTAAATGCTTTATTTTAAAACATTTCCCCTGAAGAAAACCCTAATAAAATTATGGTTTGGAAAGGATGACCATAGCCATGAAGGTGGCATGATCATAGTATAATTGTAGCTGGTCCCAGTTCTTCCCTGAAAAGGGGGAACCTGCAGGCCTGGAGAAAGAAAGGATGGCCAAGATCTGAAGCCCCAGAAGAGAAACACTTTAGACACACTCCATGGTTCAGGGCATGGTGGGCAGCCAGAGGGCAGTGTGGGTGCATCAGACCCCTGACCATAGCCTGACGCAAAATTTATCTCATTTACAACCTCATCACAAAAACCTTAATAAAGTAGATTTGGATTATCTAGAGAAATGGTTGGAGAGAGATGAATTTCATAGTGGTTACTGAAGCGAGCATTTAACTAAAAACTACAAAAATAACAAAAAACAATGAGGAAAGAAGAAGCTCAAACCCTGAAATTAGCAAATGGAAAAACAAAAAAATATATACACAAAATATCTTTAGTAATCAAATACTGTGTGCCCTTTTACCACTCATGCCTTCCCCAACCTCATTTGAATGTAGTGTTTGTTTCTTCCTGAGATTGAATGAAGAGAAGCAAGTTAAATACATCACGGAAGATTATAAAAGATTGCTAATTTGAACAGCTGTTCTAAATGTGTGATTTGTGATGTGCTACTGAACCACAAGATCCCATCACTTTAAATGGTTGATTGATGACTTTACGTTTTCTCTATTTTAGACTATTTCATCAATTTCTAAAACAGCTTCTATAAACTTTTTTTAAATTTATTTTTATTTATTTATTTTTTTAAGATTTTATTTGACAGAGAGAGACACAGCGAGAGAGGGAACACAAGCAGGGGGAGTGGGAGAAGGAGAAGCAGGCTTCCCGCTGAGCAGGGAGCCCGATGCGGGGCTCGATCCCAGGACCCTGGGATCATAACCTGAGCTGAAGGCAGACACTTAATGACTGAGCCACCCAGGTGCCCCGCTTCTATAAACTCTTAAACAACTAGTGAGAGGGTTCAGGATTGCTTTTCAGAATTGCCACAGTGACTTTTATTTTCTTGTATCAATAGGTGTTTACTCATGAATTCACTGAAAGAAAGCCTTCATTCTTTTGAGAGATAGAGTAACATAGCACATAAATATCTGGACTCCAGAGTTAAATTGTTGAGGTCAAATCTGACTCTTAATCCCTCTGTGCTCGTGTTATAATGATATCAATCTCATTGGACTTTTCATTCAACAGATACTCATTGAAGCCAACTATGTGCCAAGCAGTTTCTAGGCACTGGGGACAAGGAACAGACAAAAACCTCTGCTCACAAGGAGCTTATGTTCTAATGGAAGAAGACAGAAAATAGATAGACACAAAAATCAGTAAACTATATAGTATGTTTGAAGATGTAAAGTGCCATAGAGGAAAACAGAACGGTATAAAGAGGATGAGAGTGCTGGAGAAGGGGAGAGATGTAATTTTGAATAGGGTCATCATGGTAGGTCTCACTGAAAAGATAAATTTAAACAAAGACTTGAAGAAGGTGATGTCAAGAGCCATGCAGCTGTATGGTGTGTGAGTATTCTAGGCAGAGGGAACAGGTAGCAGCATAACGGCTTTGAGGTGGGATTGTGCTTGGTAGGTTCGAAAAAAAGAAAGGAGTCATTGTGGCTGGACCTCTCCAGTGAACAAGGTGGGGAGAGTAGATGATTCAAAGAGGCAGAGGTTGGGGGTCAGTTGAGTAGGGCCTGTGGACCATTGTAAGGACTTTTATCCTGAATAGAATGGTATTGCATAGTAGTATAGAATGTTTTGAGCAGAAGTATGGCAAGGATCCCCTTTTTAAAAGGATCACTTTGGCCTCTGTGTTGAGAATTGATATTAGGGGGACAAGTGTGGAAGCAGAGACCAGAGTAAGTGATAACAATACAAATAAGAGATAACCATGGCTGGGACAAATGTGGTAGCCATGGGGGCTGGTAAAAAGATGTTGGATTTTATTTGATTAAATTAATTAATGTATTTTTTAAGAAAGATTTTATCTTTAAATAATTTCTACAACCAACATGCAGCTTGAACCTACAGTCCCGAGATCAAGAGTTGCATGCTCCACCGACTGAGCCAGCCAGGCAACCCAATATGTTGAATTTTAAATACATTTTATTTTATTTTAAAGATTTATTTATGAGAGAGAGAGAGACAGAATGTGTGCATGAGCGGGGGAGGGGGCAGAGTGGTAGAGAGTGGGGAGAGAGAGAGAGAATCTCCAGCAAACTCCTCCCTGAGCACGGAGCCAGGTGTGGGGCTCGATCTCACCACCCTGAGTTCATGACCTGAGCCGAAACCAAGAGTCGGACACTTAACTGACTGAACCACCCAGGTGCCCCGAGTTTTAAATACATCTTAAAGTCAATAGCATTTGCTCATGACTGGATATGGAGTCTGTGAGAGAGAGGGAGGAATCAAGGATTTTGGCTTAAGCACTTGGAAATATGGAATTGCCACTAATTGAAGAGGGGAAAACTGTGGTGGAGCAGGTTTTAGGGAGCACATCACAAGTTCAGTTTTGGCATATTAAGTTTGAGATGCCCATTAGACTTCCAAGTGGAGAGGGTGAGTTGTCAAAAACATTTGAGTCTGGAATTGGGGAAATGGGTCCAAGCTGGAGATCATTCTAGGAGTTGTCAGAATGTAGTAGAATTCAAAACAATGATATAGGGTAATAACACAAAGAGTTTGGGATCTGGAATCAGACTACTTGGTACCACCACTTATTAGCTGAGTAACTTTGAGAAAGCCACTTTGTTTCTCTGACTCATTCTATCTGCCTGTAAAATGAGAGGAATAATAGTAACTACCTCATGGAGTTAAAATAAAAATATAAATCAAAATCACCAATACCTGTAAAATACTTCTTAGAACATATACTCAGTAAATGTTAACTGTTAATTTTCAGTGCAACTATTCTGTATATCTATTAGGACATCACAAATACTTGCATGGACTCACGTGATTAATGTAGCAATACAGCTTTCTACACCGTGATGTTATGTTTTTGGTTTGGGATGGTTAATTGGTACTAATTCCCCTGAGTTGGTTTTGTTTCCAGAATTAAACTGGCCTGGATTTTTGGAATTTGCTCTGCCTCAGTTGTTGATACATTTGAAAGCCTGTATATATTTTAATATGTGTTACTTGTTCCAAAAAAAAGTACTATGTGTTTCTTCAGTGCTGGTCTCCTTTGCTTTTCTCAGTGCTCAGCAGAGGAGCAGTCAGGTTCACAAGAAAAACACAGTTGGAAATCAGGTAGGCATTTTAAAAATAATCAGTTGCATGCATGCCCCAAAGAATTTGAACTCAGTCGCTTGATTGATTATTTTTTAATGCAAATTAATCATGTGCAAATTTTGCTGAAAATGCAGCTTTTTGTTTTGTTTTTGCTTGTAAGGTTTTTGGAGTGCGTTGCATTTTTTTTTTTTTTTGCTATTTTATGCATTTAACTTTATTGATTTATTTTAAATAACTTTTCTGCTATTTGCTCTGCTTTTCAAAATTGACTCCTTGTGTCCTACTTCGCTTGCTTATGTTACCCCTAAATTTGATTTAACATGGAATCTATGAGTCAGTTCAAGGTTAAAATATGGTGAGTAGTTGCATGAGCTTTTGGTGCTGCTGACTAGTTCACACATTTGCACAGCTTGGTAACAGTGAAGGGACAGCTCATAAAGAAGGCAGTTGTTGGATTTACTCTCTGCCACACCAAATTTCTGTTGGTTAACGAAGATGTTAATTCCTAAGAAGATCTGATCTTTTGAGTTTTTGTGTTTTGGGCTGACCGGCTGTCTCTGACTAATAGCGCTCTGCAGAGATTGCATTAACTCTGACAGTTTGCTGTTTCTTTTATGTTTTATGTGATAATGAATATTTGCATTGTTATTTCTTTTCAAGTCAAAACAATGATGATTTTATAGTTTTTTTTTTTAAACTCAGAGGTACAATTATTGAACAAATTGAAACCTCTGCTCTAGAAATTTTTCCATTGTTTTGAAAGGAGAAGAGGTAATAACAGACTTTATTTTAAAAACTTTTTTCTGAACTAAAGCATATAATTCTTTGCTATTTCAGGGAACCAATCTTCCGCCTTCAAGGCAAATTGTACGAGCTAAGTTCTGTAAGCTTTACTGTTGCTTTTTCATTTAGCTTCCCAAGGGCACAGTTTGTCTTTAACTGATTAACTCAACTAGCGCTTGCTACTAATTTTTTTAAACTTAGGTTGTCTTGTCCGTAACACTGTATCATTGAAATAAAAATCCTCTTAAGAGGGTTCATCCCTTCACTGCTAATAACTTGCTGTGATTGAAAGGTATGAACTAGTAAACTCTAAAATGCTGTAATAATAAACCCTTAACACTGTGGGTGCTTTGATATTTCTCTAATTTTAATGGGCCTTAAAATAATTAAAATCATTAATGATCTTCATCTCTGTCCCTTTATGCTATGTTGTTACAAGGTGTAAGCCTTTCTCTACAACTTGTATGATAATATTTCCAATAAATGTAGTTCGTGCTTCTAAAAGGTGGGTGAATATTAAACATCTGATTTTGATGTATTTGTTGATAAGCCTACTCAATTACAATTATTTGTATTTATTTAAAAAAAATAAAATCCAAATTACATCAATTGCTATCTTACATGGCTTTAAAGTTGAATCTTTTAAAACCAGATACTATATCTTCACTTTATGGAAGTATAAAGATACTGTCAAATTACTGGCATAGGCATTAAAAAAACCCAAAAAACATTACACTCTAATTTCTACCACAAATGAAGCAGCTTTAAAGTCTTTCTTCCAGTTGTGCTCAAGTTGAGAATGAGATTGGAGCATGGGCCAGTTATTTGCCTCATGATGTTTTGGAAGAAACAATCTTTGGAACTGGACATTCCTGGGTTCAAATTCTGCTCTGTCATTTAGTAGCCATGTGGCTTGGGACAAATTGAACCTGAGTTTGCTCAGTTATGTGATGAGAAGGATGAAAATATATCTGTAGGATGATTGTAAAAATCAGAAATAATTTCATAATGGGGTTTGCAGCTGGGTACTGGATGTGTGCCTTGCAAACAGTGTTTACCTTGCTCTCAGCAGGCAGGTGCTGTTCTTGAAACTTTTGGGAGAAAAAATATAAAATATAAGAAAATTACAAAAGTTATAAAATGAGAACAATGAAACATTTGGGGAAATTAGAAGCTATGGCAAATTATTGTGAAGATTGCAATGTCCAGATTAAGGCTTGATGTATAACGGATTTATCTATAAAACTTTCCTCACGATCAGAAGCTGTAGCTCATAGAAGTTTATACTTATTGGAAAAGCAATAGTATAGTGGCGTAAGTGCATATTTTAAATCAGATGGAAAGGAAATTCAGAACAGTTTTCAATTATATATTGCTTCCAAATGCTAAAATAATGCTAATTGTGTTTCCATGGCTTTACTTCCCCTGAGTACTTCAAAGCCCACACATTATGGAAGTCTTAAAAGTCAAGATAATAGAATTGGGTGAGTCTCATAATAGAGCACAGATCCCTACTCCAAACCCTTGGGGCCAGGTGTGCCTTTAATATCAGAACTTTTTGGATTTTAGAAAAAAAAAATATTGCATATATCATATTATATTACTTAATATTCCTATGGAGTCAGAGGCAGCACCCTTTAATTAAACACTTCATGTTTCTGCGGTAAAACAAATGAACAGTGACACTAAGTAGATTAAATGAGAGATAAACATTTTCATGTCGGGTTAGATTTTGCTGCTAAATTTTTGTTTTATTTGTTTTATTTATTTAGTTTTAAATTTTTTAGAGGGAGAGAGAGAGGTGGGGGAGGGGCGACCCTGAGATCATGACCTGAGCCGAAATCAAGAGTTGGCACTTAACTGACTGAGCCACCCAGGTGCCCCTACTTGTTTGTTTTTTAAAAAAAAAAAACCTTTTACTTTGCAAGTAAGGGGTTATGAACCTGAATATCTTATATTCCAAGATCAAATCAGTAATTACATGCAATACAGTATATTTTAGAGAATCTTTTATTTTTTTATTTTTTTATTTTTTTATTTTTTTTGCTGCTTAGCAGAAATGAACTATAATTACTTGAAATCATTTGCTTTATGAATCTGAATGTCTGAGGTTGATTTGAATTTGTATAAAAAGTTTTTGCCTATTAAGAATCTCAAAGCTGGGGGCCCTTGGAGCCTGGTCTGTTAACTGATGCTGGCTTTTATGGTTGGTGGGGCTGAAATACCCTGTGCTATCCCACAGGTGGTTCATCCATTCTGCTATTCCCTCAGGGCTCCTGGTTGTAAGAAATTCTGCTGTACGGAGTGTGCTCTGAAATATTTTAGAAGGAATTAAAGAAAGCAAAACTCTTTTTTTTTTTTATTAAATTTTTTTTTTATTCTGATGTTAATCCCCATACATTACATCATTAGTTTTAGATGAAGTGTTCCATGATTCATTGTTTGTGCACAACACCCAGTGCTCCATGCAGAATGTGCCCTCCTCAATACCCACCACCAGGCCAACCCATCCTCCCACCCCTCTCCCCTCTAGAACCCTGTTTGTTTTTCAGAGTCCATCGTCTCTCATGGTTCGTCTACCCCTCCGACTTCCCCCGCTTCATTCTTCCCCTCCTGCTACCTTCTTCTTCTTCTTCTTTTTTTTTTTCTTAACATATATTGCATTATTTGTTTCAGAGGTACAGATCTGAGATTCAACAGTCTTGCACAATTCACAGCGCTTACCAGAGCGCATACCCTCCCCAGTGTCTATCACCCAGTCACCCCATCCCTCCCACCCCACCCCCCACTCCAACAACACTCAGTTTGTTTCCTGCGATTAAGAATTCCTCATATCAGTGAGATCATATGATACATGTCTTTCTCTTTTTGACTTATTTCACTCAACATAATACCCTCCAGTTCCATCCACGTCGTTGCAAATGGCAAGATCTCATTCCTTTTGATGGCTACATAATATTCCATTGTATATATATACCACATCTTCTTTATCCATTCATCTGTCGATGGACATCTTGGCTCTTTCCACAGTTTGGGAAAGCAAAACTCTTTAAAGACAATCCCATTCATTTTTGGCTGCCTAGAAATTTGTCAGCTTGAAAGTTCCACAAGTGGATGTCAACATTTGTACAAAAAAATGTGAGCACACGATTAATTGAAAGTTGCACTGCCCAGTAATTTAAATGTAACCTTCATTCATCCCTTCACGCATCAAATATGTATTCAAAACCTAAGAGTATGAAAAACTATGGTAGATGTTTAGAACAGAATGATAAATAAATCATGGGTTCTGTCCTCGGGGACCTCACAGCCCAGTGGGGATGATGGTAAGTAAGCAAATTGATGTCTGCCTCCTTTTTCAAGGCTAGCTCCTTCTAATCCTTCAGGTCTCCCTGAAATGTCACTTCTGGAATAGATTGGCCCTGGCCATCAGATCTAAAATCACCTTCCCTCCCTAGTGTCTTGACATTATCTATTATCTTCTTATGTTGTTTATTTACTTTTTCATCTTCCTTCACCAGGACCTAAGCTCCATTAAAGCTTTTTTTTTTGTGATGCGGAAAGCCATGGAGTATCATTGTAAGCACAATCATAACATTTTAGCAGGATCATTCTGCCTATATGTGAAAGGTTTTGAAGGGAGGGCAAGGTTAGAAAAAGGAGACGAGTTAGGAGGCTATTGCAGACAAGAGATTATGGTGATCTGGGCTCGGATGTTTGTGCTGGATTTGAGGAGAAGCTGATACTTTCAGGAGGATTTGTGATGAGCTGGATGTTGGGGAGAGGGCCGGGCACTGTCAGCAATGCTGTTTAGATATATGATTTAGGCACAGGTGAGATAGTGGTGCTCTTCATGGAGAAAGAAATATAGTGACAAACTCAGATTTGGATTCAGAGTTAGGAAGGGTAGATATGTTGCATATGAGGCACCGTGGGAGACAGGAGTAAAAGTGTCCAGAGGGATGTTGTATAGAAGTGTCTAGAGTTGAGAAGAGACAAAGAACTATTTATTCCAAAGGTAGTAGGGAGCCATTGAAGGATTCCCAATAGGGAAGGGATATCATCTGACTTGCATGGTGGAAAGATCTGTGTATCAGTCACATGGGATGATTTGGAGGAGTAAAACTAGAGATGTGGAAATTGGGTGAAGATGTTTTTGAATAATTCAGGTAAAATACAAATGTTGGTAGCAACAAGTATGTAGAAGGGACAGATCCAAAATACATTTAGAGGGTGGGAAGAGTTATAAACAGTTGTGGAGTTGGGAGGAGGGAGTTCTCTTTCCAGGCTATGGCTAAGAGGATCCACTGACAAAGGGAATGCAGGGGAAGAAGAAGCAGATTTCAGGGGAGATGGGAGAAGGTGGTGATTTCCGTTTCATTACATTTTTTGTGCCTATTGAGACCTCAGTAGGGTTGAGGTTCAAGACTTGTCTAGACTGGAGATATGTTTTACAGCTCTCAATGTATACATGGTAGTTGAGGTCAAGGGAGTAGATGAAATTGCCTCCAATGGATAAAAGTATGGAAGAAAATATGGGATTTAAAGGATAATGGAGAAATAAGAGTTGGGGTAGAATGAGGAACTGAAAAGGAGTCTATGAAGTGAAAGAGAGGTAGGAGAACTTGGGGAGTAGTACAATGAGAGCCAAGGGAAGAAATCATTTCAAGGAGGGAATGGCCAATTAGTAATAGATGTTTCCTAGAGTCCAAGAAACACTGGGGAAGTTGTCAAAATAGGTGGAGTGATAGAAGGTTCTGTGCAGTACTGGGGATCACCTGAGGCTGTACCAGTCCTTTTGGTCTTGTGAATTGCTCTTCTACTATAGAAGGTAGCATTACTCTTGTACCTTACAGTTAAAAGGTAGCATAAAGCTGAGAAACCAGACAATGGAATTGATATCCTGAGCTGGGTTTTTTTCCAGGGAAGCAGCAAATAAAATCAAGAGAATAAAAGAGTTAAAGTTTTGAAAAGAGAGGTTGAAATAAAGAATTGTATAATCTCATGACTGATGTATTAGTCAGGACATTAGTCAGGACAGGTCAACCAAGTAACAAACAATCCCAGAATTTCAGTAGCTTAGT